GATAGTATTCGACAATGTTTGCTTGAGGCCTCTACAATTTGGATGCCATCGGCCTTAAGAAGATTATTTGTCACCATTTTGGTATATTGTGAACCAGTTGGTGTCCGAACATTGTGGGATGAATTCTATCCATGCATGATTGAAGATTATGCTTTCCTAAATAACTTAAGTTGCAATGTTGTTGTGAACAGACTTTTACGTGACTTAAACACACTTCTGGTATAGTTTAACAAGAATATCAAGGACTTTGATTTGCCCCAAATGACAACAGACGTAGTTTCTGCAATGCCTAGATGTATTGAAGACGAACTCTCACACGGTATTTCACAAGAAGATCTTCTTGCAATTGAACGTCTTAATGATGACCAAAAGTCTGCATTTAACATAATAATGGACACAATTGAACGATGTCAGAATTCAATTTTTTTTGTGGATGGTCCAGGTGGAACTGGAAAAACTTACTTATACCGTGCATTGTTAGCAAACATGAGAAGGTTGGGCCATATAGTATTAGCAACAGCAACATCTGGAATAGCAGCTACAATATTACCTGGTGGGAGAACGACACATTCTAGATTCAAGATACCACTTAGCCCAGATTCATCATCTACATGTTCGATCAGTAAACACTCTGATTTGCCAAAGTTAATACAAAAGGCAAAGGAAATTATTTGGGATGAAGCAACGATGGCACATCATCATGCCTTTGAAGCACTAGATCGAACTTTCAGAGACATAATTGATGTTGACTTACCATTTGGGGGGAAAACAATGATCTTTGGGGGAGATTTTCGACAAGTACTTCCTGTTATTCCTAAAGGAACAAAGTCGGAACTGATCCAGGCCAGTGTGGTGAAAGCATCATTTTGGTCACAAGTAAAGATTTTGAAACTTAGACAAAACATGAGATCCAGGAATGATCAACAATTTTCACAATTTTTACTTCGTGTTGGTGATGGGGAAGAACCTGTCGTTGGAGATGGTATGATAAGAGTACCTGAATGCATGGTAATGCCATGGGAGAATGAGTTATCCATCAATGAGTTTATTTATCAAGTTTTCCCTAATTTGGAGGATCATATAAATGATGCAAGTTACATGGTGGAAAGGGCAGTGATAACTCCTACAAATGAAGATGTTGACATGTTGAATGAAAAGATGATCAATATGTTTCCAGGCGAAGAAGAGACAATGTATTCGTTTGATTCAGTTGAGGATGACACGAGGAATTTGTATCAGCCGGAATTCTTGAACTCAATTTGCATTGGTGGGTTGCCACCACATAAGTTAACTTTGAAGAGAGGTGCTCCAATCATGCTTCTCAGAAATATTGACCCAAAATTGGGATTGTGTAATGGAACAAGATTACTATGTCGTGGGTCGTACCAAAATCTCATTGATGCTGAAATTCTAACTGGACAATCTGTTGGGACCAGAGTTTTTCTACCACGTATCCCTCTAAAGACAACTGAGACTGCTGGGCTACCATTTGAACTAACAAGAAAACAATTTCCAGTGAAGTTGAGTTTTGCTCTCACTATAAATAAATCTCAAGGTCAAACAATACCACATGTGGGTATTTTTCTTCCAGATCACGTTTTCAGTCATGGACAATTATATGTGGGTTTATCGAGGGGTGTTTCAAAGTCGACTACAAAAGTGTTAGTGAAAAAAGGGTCAATAACCGGTCAAGAAGGCGTTTTCACTCGGAATGTGGTGTACAAAGAAGTCCTACTTCATTCGAACTAATGATGGCGATTAAAAATAAGTAAGCATAATTTTAATCACGAATACCTTTTCAAATAACCACAACATGTTATTATCATTTATTGTTGTAATTGTTTGTTTGTTGTTACTTGACTCAAAGAGTTACATTAGTTACATATACCGTTTTTTCAATTTTAAAAATATATATATGCTTTCTAAGAGTTAGACAATGCACATAATGTCCTTTCTTTTTAGAACCTCAAGATTAATGTGATGTTTTGTACGTACTTTGGTTATTTAATTTATTTAATTTTAAATGTAAAAATCGTGCACTTGAGCAGCTCAGACATGCAAATGTTCGTCATATCATTTGGACCTACAAAACAGTTTGTCGGATTAGGTTTTGTTTTTATTTCAAATTAGAAAGAAAAAAAAAATCATAACCTTGATGATGATACTCTAATTTTGTAACAACATTTTTCTTTTGGTATAGGAGAAAACTCAATCAAAGACATAAAGACTTTCTACGCCAGGTACTTCATATCACTTTAGCATCTCAAGTGAATGAGTTTACACTTTAATTTATTTTTATACTTTATATCACTTAGTATCTCAAGTGAATGAGTTTACACTTTAATTTATTTTTATACTCATATTTGTACCAGTTTTACAAACATCGTACCCGTTGCTATGTGGAGAAATTAGAGCACAAAATTCAGGTAGCAAATCATGAAACTGTTCCGTTAATCCTCTACCAATTTCTTATTAATTGTTTTATTGTTAAACTTGGCTTCTTATATAGAAACGAAAGGATTTTCCCTTTGTCCCTTGACTTTTGAAAATGACACTATTTTTGGTACAATTATCTTCCGATAATTGGAGTGGGCATGTAGCAAAGGATAAACTATCAAAATTGAAGGTGAGTATACGTGTTCCCAGATTATGCTAAAATTTTTCAATTACAAATTTAAAGGGGAGTGTTTAAACTTGGTCTCATCTCATGTTATTTATGTATAGATTGACAATGAAAAAGTCAAAGATCATTTAGAGAGGAACGGGTGGCGCAAGTGGTCTTGATCGTTGCATGTCTTCCTCCTATGTGCATATTATGTAAATATTTATGTCCATAATCTAAAACTACGATGTTGTGTAGAATGAAAATATTATGTTACTTAAATTATTTGAGATTTTTGCATCTTATACATTGGTGAGCATGGGATAAGTTAATCGTCCCTTTCACATGGGTTTAGTAGTCCCTTCCTAAAGAGATGCTTTGGTGGGCCAGATATTAGCAATCTCATCTAAGACTAGAATTACATGAAACAAACATGGTACTAAATTTAGTCTAGGCCAAGCCAAGCCAACCGTGCGCGTGTGATAAATTGTCGTGTTAAGAATTTTCTTTTATCGCCCGTATTTTTCTAGAAGTCCATCTTAGTAGTTTCTATTTTTTCTTTTATAGTGTGTAAACTGTTAAGATGGACGTCTAGAAAAATACGGGCGATAAAAGAAAATTCTTAACACGACGATTTATCACACGCGTGCGATTAAAATATGAAACTGTTGAAACAGACATCTATATAAATACAATTGCGAAAAAATATTTATGGAACTTTGGAAGTCGCTTATATTTATATTTTTTTTTAATCAAATTTAAAGCCACATTGTAATAACTTTATGACCTACCATAAATCGACTACCGTAGTAAATCTATATAAACAATACAAACACGTAGCGCGCGTGCAGGGAGGTTAGTATATATAAAGTACAAACTAATGCAACTTGGAGGGTTCTTTTTTCTTTTATCTCTTTTCTTTTAACTAGTATAGCCAGGCGGCTATACGTATTTCACACGTTACCCCTAATCTCTGGAAGGTCCTCTTTTTAAAAAATGAATAAATCAAAATAGTATAGCGGCACGCCCATACTAAGTTTTTTTTTTTTAGTATAGCCGCACACGTGCGGCTGTACCCGTTAAGTAACATGATATGTATTTATCTTGTTTAATTACTTTGATTAATAGTTATGTTTTAGTTATTGTTTACTTAGTGAATATTAAAGGAAAAAAAGGAAAAGCAAAATTGAATTACTATTTATTAAGTAATATAAGTCATGAAGATAATTAAAATATTGAATACTAATTATTCACTTCATAAATAGTAATTAAAATATAATTATTAATTTAACTAATTAAATCAGGCAAATATATTATTTAATTACTAAAATTAAAATTTAACAAAATTAATTAACCTAAACAGCCTAAGTTTTTTTTTTTTTTTTGA